TGGGGTACATATATGCATTTTCTGCGCTGAAAATGTCCTGTGACAGTTGTATCAATGTTTTTTAATAAAATATTGTACAATAAATAAAATCTTTTTATCTATTATACGTGGAGTTACCTCCCGCTACGCATGCGCAGCCAACCAGGTAAGCACCTAGGCCCGTATCATCATTCCTTCTGCTGAATAAATCAGTGAACAGAATTGCGGGGAGGCGGGTGGCCCTACCCCAAGGACGACTCTCTTCAAAGAATTGAAAACCTCTTCAGGTTTGGTTAATTCTTTTTCATAGAGATCGTCCTTGGGGTTCATATATGCATAAACACAGACTCCCAAAGACCGGAGGCCAGGGAGGAGGGAATTCTGTCAAAGTACACACAAATAGCGATCGTTAAGAATAATGTAACAGACGCCATAATCACTCACCTGTCACATGTCCCGTTTTGAGCTTCCGCGAGAGGCATTATGGGAGGGTAACCGACAGGGAGGAAAGGTACTGAGAGTCGACCTCGCAGGTTAGCATAATGAGAACGCACAGAACGTAAACAAACCCCACCCACCTTATGGTCTATTAGAGAGCACCGTAGGGGGGGGAAAAAAACACTCACTACCGACCATAATCTCCGTAGAGAATCGAAAGGAGGTTATACACCCAGCAGCGGACATATCAATAAAACACAGTATTGAAAAGCAGCGTCAACTACACCAGATAACCAAGACTCACTCGGTCAGGGTGGCAGGACACTGTCCATTGGAGAGAACAAAACGGCCAAAGCGTGCACGATCATGTGAATGTGTATCGAGCTGATAGTGCCTGATCAAAGTGCTAGGCCGGCTCCAAATAGCGGCAGAGCATGTCTCTTCAATGGGTAGTGCCGATGCAAAAGCTTTTGACGTAGCTACTGCCCTGACCGAGTGAGCCTTCAACCCCTCAATGACCGAGACAAGCCAGCGAGACAGGGTCTGTTTGCTCGCAGGCACCCCAGCCATCCCGCCACCATAACAGCAGAACAGATGGGTACCCGTACGGATCCCTTGTGTTCGTTTGATATAGACCTTGAGAGTCTTTCGGACATCCAATGGGTGAGTGCTCGTAGGAGAGGTCCCCAATGTGGAAGGCTGGGTAAGAGTACATGGAAAGCGTGATCGACCTTCGGGCGGTAAGTATCCGGGAGGCGGAATACTGACACGATCTGTGTGGAACACAGTCAGCGCCGGGTCGGATGACATAGCATGTAAGTCACCAACCCTACGCCCAGAGGTTACCGCCACCAGAAATACAGCCTTCCATGTTAACAACTGAATGGAAATAGCCGATAGACGTAAGAACGTAGGACCGGACAGCCAATCTAGCACGATTGACAAATCCCAAGGTGGGCTGGTTCGCCTGACAGCAGGTCGAACCCGATCCGCGCCACCTAAAAAGCACTGTACGAGAGGGTGCTGCCCCAGAAGAGCACCATCGACAGGGTTGTGAAAGGTGGAAATAGCGGTGGAGTAGCCACGAATGGTTGAAGCCGCCAGGCCTTCTTCCAAACGAGCTTGCAAAAACTCCAATACTTGGACTAAATCCGCAGAAAAGGGATCTGCAATCCCCCTATCTGAACACCAGCGTGCATAGCGGGACCACCTATCCTCATACTGAACGTTTGTCGAATCCCGCCTCGAAGCAAGAATTGTGTCTGCAACTGCTGCAGGAATTCCGCATGCTTTGAGGCTAGACCTGACAGAGGCCAAGCCACCCACTGAATCCTTGGATTGGGGTATGGCGCGCCGTTCTGAGTGAGAATGTCCGGTCGCAAAGGTAATAGAACAGGAGGCTGAGCCAGAAACCTGAGAACTACCGGAAACCAGCTCTGTGACGGCCAAAGCGGTGCCAGTAGCACAAGCAGCCGAGGTGTCTGGGTGGACAGCTGGGAGAGGACCCGGGGAATGAGTGGTAACAGCGGGAACGACAAGAGCACTTTGCCCGTCCAATCCAGCAGGAAGGCGTCGGCAGCCAACGCCCTCGGGTCCGGTATTCGAGAGCAGAACACGGGTATCTGATTCGTCCCGCCCTACGCAAACAGATCCACCTGGAACGACCCGTACAACTGGGAGATAACTCCGAATATCTGCCGGTTGAGCATCCACTCGTGCGGGGCCAGGATCCGGCAAGAGAGAGCGTCTGCTCGCACGTTCTCCAGCCCCGGGAGATAAACAGGGAGTACCTGGCAATCGCACTGGTCCCACCAGAGGAGAAAGTCCCACGTCTCCCGAAGGAGCGCTCGGGACACCGTGCCGCCTTGCTTCAGGATGTAGGACATGGCCGTTCGGTTGTCCAACTGAAGACGAACCACCTGGCCCTTGACATGCTCTCGGAAGCGCTCGAAAACCAACCGCACAGCTCTCAGTTCCAACACGTTGATGTGAAGGCGGGCTTCGGCTTCGGACCAGAGTCCGGACACCGACAGACTGCCCAGAACACACACCCCCAGCCCGTGAGGGACGCATCGGTCTGAACTGTAAGAGCTGGCGTCGGGATTTCCAAAGGGACCCCCTTGGAGAGATTCCTGACATTGGTCCACCACTGAAGGTGAGGAGACAACCACCCAGGGACTGAGACTCCGCTCCAGGTCCTCCGAGTGAGCCCACAGACTCGCTAAAGCTTGCTGTATAGGGCGCATCCTCAACCACGCCCGCCACACTACAGAGATAGTCGCCGCCATATGGCCCAGTAGACGGAGCCAATTCCGTGCTGGTGCCTGGGGCTGGGAGAGGAACGAAGACACCATCTCCCGTACTCTGGTGACCCGGTCGGGCGACAAGGAAACAAGATCCTTGTGAGTTTGGAACCTCGCCCCGAGAAAAACCAAGTCCTGGGTGGGTACCAGGTCGGATTTCTTGAGGTTGATGATCCACCACAGTCGAACTAGAATGTCTATCACTGTGAGTAGAATCTAGGCTCGCTGGCTGAGTTAGCGCGCTGAGTTAGCGCGCTGAGCAACCAGTCGTCGAGGTAAGGGTAACAACGCCTTCCTTGCGATCGAGCGAGGGTAGCTGGCACTAACATGAGCTTGATGAACACCCTGGGGGCAGTGGATATGCCGAAGGGGAGCACCGTGAATTGGTAATTCATCCCGTCGTAAGATTGACTGACTGACTGAATGAGTTTAGTTTTACGCCGCTTTTAGCAATATTCCAGCAATATCACGGCGGGGGACACCAGAAATGGGCTTAACATATTGTGCCCATGTGGGGAATCGAACCCGGGTCTTCGCCGTGACGAAATAACGCTTTAACCACCAGGCTACCCCACCGCCCCTCCCGTCGTAAGAGAACCGAAGGTACTGCTTGAACGATGGATGTATGGGCACATGTAGATACGCATCCTTTAGGTCGATTGACGTGAGCCAATGGCCGGGCTGAACAGAGGAGATCACCGAGCGAAGTGTCTCCATCTTGAAGGATGGAACCTCTAGCATGCGATTCAACCCCTTGAGGTTGAGAATGGGACGGAACCCGCCGTCTTTCTTCGGAACGAGGAAGTACGTGGAATAAAATCCCGCCTGTTCCTCGCCCGGTGGTATGCGCTCTATAGCGGACTTGTCCAGCAAAGCCTGAACTTCGTCGCGCAGTATATCCACCCGGACCTGACATGACGGCACCGGAGTGAGACGTATGCTGGTGGCACGCTAAACTTCCCGCCATGGCAAAGCAACACGTGCGTAAACCACGGGAAAGTGAGCGTAAAATATGTAATACAAAGTCACAATTATGAGACAACCGACCGCAAAGCTTTACTGTTCCGTTCAAGGACAAAATAAAGACCATACATACAGGTGGTGGTGTCCCAGAAATTATTTCTTTTAACTTCGTGTTATGGAAGGAGTTCAGCTCTACTCGACACATCCGTTCAGTGGAGTGACAGTAGAAGGAATGATGATACGGGCCTAGGTGCTTACCTGGTTGGCTGCGCATGCGTAGCGGGAGGTAACTCCACGAGGTGGGGACCGTATAAGAGATAAAAAGAATTTATTTATTGTACAATATTTTATTAAAAAACATTGATACAACTGTCACAGGACATTTTCAGCGCAGAAAATGCATATATGTACCCCAAGGACGATCTCTATGAAAAAGAATGGGTTTAATGTCGTGCTTGAGAATATTTCGCTCATATGACGACGTGCATGCGTGTGCATGTGTGTGTGAAACTGCTTGTACTAGCCCAGGCTTTAGCTGGTTTTATAGTACTAGCCCACTGAGATACCATGCCGCAGTGAAGCATGGATACCCTACTCAGACACATTATACTGACTCCCAGCCGACCAGTCCTTGTTGTACCCATTAATGCCGAACGCCAGGCAGGGACCAACAAATACCATATTTTAACGTCTTTTGGTATGACGCGGTCGGGGATCGAACCCGCGACCTTCCGCTCTCCGGGCGGACGCTCTAACCACTACACCAGGGATGCCGTCTAGGAAGGGTGAGGGAGTTTAGTTTTACGCCGCACTCAGCAATATTCCACCTATATGGCGGCGGTCTGTAAATAACCGAGTCTTGGCCAGACAATCCAGTGATCAACAGCATGAGCATCGAACTGCGCAATTGGGAACCGATGACATGTGTCAACCAAGTCAGAGCCTGACCACCCGATCCCGCCTCTTACAAGCATCATGGGTTACTGAAGATCAATATTCTAACCCGGACCTTCACGGGTGGCAAGGAAGAGAAAAGATCTCGCCAAAGGCGGGTCGGCCAACATGCTCAAAGCTGACGCGGACATACACAATATAGGGTTCCAGCTACTCTCAGATCCCGATTAGTCAAGTGTTTGCCCAAAGTCATTGACGCTTTTAGCGAGACTGTCGTTTATGTGTATATCAGACGTAGGGCTTCCCACGACCGCAAGAGGTAAATATTGGCCAAAAAACGTGGAAAATTATCCCTGTTATTACCCCTTCTAGCACCAGTCGTAACAAACCTTGTATCGAGCGTGGTAGGGTCTTGACCGGCTCTTGATACCCGACCATGTCTTCCTCCTTTACCAAAATGTTACATCAGGCAGCGAATTCCAGATTCGTAGATTTCTCTCGAGATGCATCGGTGAGTTCTTGGATGGGATACTTTCATCTTCGAGTAAACGTTCTTATACTGAAAGAAAGCAAGGACAATTTAGATGAAATGTGAAATGGTGTAGGACAACGTGGGTCCAAATGATAGTGCGAATAGGGGTCGGACATTATCGGTACCAGTTACGATACACGAGAACATGTTGCGCAACAACCTGTATAAGGGCAAGACCGGGGCCTAGATTTTCGCATCCTAGATAACCTCCAGGGTATACGTTTCGATAAATCTCCACTACAACGTATACCCTGGAGATTATCGAGGATGACATTTTCGAAGCTCTCAGCGCTAAGCGTCTCTCACGGCAAAGGGATGGGCAAGTGTGCCTAATGCACAAAGTACTCCAGTCAAAGATGACAACACAGGCTGTAATCATGATACATTGGGACAATTAAAGAATGTGCAAATTTTCAAGCATCAACCAACCAGAAGGCTTGCTTCGACCACACACCCGTTTTGTCCTGACATATCGTCATCCAGTTGTGTCTAGATGGTTTTGTTGAGTCAAAATCGGGTTTCAATCGACTTGCAGAAATAACAAACTGGTAGGGAACTTGGTCACAGTGAGAGTGGAGTATTTGTGATTTTTGCGACGGAAACTTTGTCAGTCTTTGTGATTTTAGCATCAGCGAGGGAAGGGCAAGGTACGGTAATGGCCTGTAATACCTACAAAATGAATATTACAAGAGAGTTGAATTCACATTTACTTACATTAGGTTTCCATCAGTAACAAGGTACCAAATATGAAAAGAATCTAGTCAACGGTTCTTAAGATATTCCAATTCGTACGTACGTACGTACGGACGGACGGAGCCTAATACTACACTGTATATCTCCCGCTTCGCGCTAAACGCGCGGCGAGGGATAATAATTATTATGATGTTCTTTAAGCGACTGATAATCATGTAAAACCATTTATTGTCACGAAATTATTTTTTTTTGTGATAATCGGTATATTGTGACAAATGACCCCATAAAGAAGTGTAAAAATAATACAATGTGTTCCGATTAGTGTTTATCCCCTTTCATCATGAAAGCATGTGCTGTTTTATCAGCGAAAAAAAGCGTACATATCAATTTCCATGCATTGGTCTTATGTAACAGAAACTTTGATTACGAAACTGATGAAACGGAAAATTTACTCATTGTCACAGGTAATTCCCAATCACAAAATGGAGTAGACGGGGTATGATTCGTCTAATCTGGATTGTCATCTCAATTTATATTTTTTTTTTAAATCTTTAATCCTCGCAAAAACACGAGGGCCTGTGGTCTGGAAGTCCGTTGAAACAATAAGCACCCGGGCGGTTATTAGAGGAAATAGGTAGTTTTGCAAATCCCGACTGCACAGATCTGCGCAATTGGGAACCGATGATATGTGTCAGCGAGCCTAACCACCCGATCCCGTTAGTCGCCTCTTACGACAAGCATGGGTTGATGAAGACCTATTCTACCCCGGATCTTCACGGGTCGACAGTGCAGGTAGTCAAAACCATTGTAAAGACACAAATTATGAAAATTATATAATCCCACTGATACACAGGGTGTGACAACACTTACTGGGGGAAACAATATTATTTAATCCCAAATATAACATTTGACCACTTTCTAAATGGCATTGTGTAATCACAGGCAGATATAGTACAGATTTCGTAAGAAATAACTAATACTTCATATAAATAGTACGGTAGCATGGGAGTCAATGGTAAGCTTGGTGTTAACGTTTGATTGCGTACCGCCAGACGCTTAGAGAACAGAAAGTAGTGAGTTGAGTTTTACGCCGCTTTTAGCAATATTCCAGCAATATCACGGCGGGGGACACCAGAAATGGGCTTCACACATTGTACCCATGTGGGGAATCGAACCCAGGTCTTCAGCGTGACGAGCTGACGCTTTAACCATTAGGCTACCCCACCGCCCCGAACAGAAAGTAACCTATAGCAGGAATGAACAAACTTTGGAGATGGCCAAAAATTTCAAATGCTGAATTATGCTGTAAATATACCGCTACCCATCTTTATAGATATATTCTACAAGATAATTCTGTAGTAGACTATGTTGAGATAAACAAGCGGAAGACGACCCCTAGTTTATTTTACATCTGGTGCAGCCATTTTGTAATGCAGAGCCGAGAGATGAGGGGTTCAATTCCTGTGCTCAGTCAGCACCATCGGGTAATTTCGAATCAGTGGCAGCCGCGCTCACTGACCTCTGCATAGACTAATGCTTAGTCTCGGAATATTATTATTTTGATAGTAACAAACAAGCCCATTTAAATTGAAAAGGAGACCAGAGATTCAGAACCTTAGGAAATCTAGACTTGTTTTATTTAGGGCTTTAGCATTGCAGAGGGGGCTAGGCAGTAGGGAACCTACTGTGGTTCAGGGACTGAGACAGACTAGCCTCTGCACTGAGAAGCACATCTCTTGGCTATCTTTCGGCAAAACTCGGAATGGAATTTTGAATTTAGCAATGAGCTGGAGACAGTCTCGACTGGCATATTATTTCTCAACACAAAGAACTTTATTAAATGTATTTCAATCAGTGAATATATTACAATTAATATCATTTATGTAATTTATTCTTTCAACTGAGTGCACGCTTGGGATAGTCACAGATGGGTAACATTCCGTCCTGTTTGGCACAGAAAATATAATTATAAGACAGTTACCAAACACTTGTTTGGAATTTTGGTTTGCCTAATTAACCAATACATTTAAAAGGCATACACAATTATATATCATGTAAATGAAATAACTGCTTTGGAATTTAATACCAAAGAATTAGTTGAAATCTGGACAAACTGGTGCTCTTACCTAAAATACAATCCACAGGTTGAGATGGTTTCTTGTCACCTCGGCAGTGCAGGCAGAAAGAGGACGATGTCAGGTTTGGGGATCCCACGTTCACCCATGTGACCACATAGCCCCTGGTATTATATCAGGGATAATCTACAGCACGTCTATTCTCCCTGATTATACATACTGTAATTAGTAAAGGGCAGGGAAATTGTACAAGGGACTGGGGCCGATTATCCACACGAGGCAATCGAGTGTCAAAACAGAAGCGGTTGACAATGCAGCCCCCTGCTCGGACGCGCTAACCGGTAGTCTGGTAGAGGGTTACTGGATTTGAAAAGGTCTATTGTATCACCAGGGATAATTGTATAGTCTCCTTGTATCACTAACAATAGAGCGACATGTAATTAGCGAAGTATTATATACGTAGGTGCGATTCTATTGAACGGAATCTGCCAGTTTTCTTTGTACTGTAATGTTACACAATTTCTTCGCTAGAAATGCTGCGAGAAATACCAAAATGAAGACAATGGTGTCAGCAAGATACACCCACAATAGACTTTGTCCGCCGCCGCCGCTACAAAGACTAAACGAGTTCGAACCAGTGTGCGAAATAGTTTCCAAATGTTGCTAGCCAGTCGGGCTAGCTATGCCTGAAAGTTATTAGCCCATTCAATGGCCCGAAAGTTGAATGTAGAAACTTTTTTATGACAAAGCTCTGATAAAAAACGAAGTCCTTTTAATGTAATAAAGTATTGTCTATGTCCGTCTCTTGTAGGAATATTGTAAACGAGTATTTTGACAAAATCGTGAAATTCGGGCCATCAAAAACTAAAACAGCCTTATTTAGTAGGAAATAAAATTCAATCCTCATCCAAGCTTGTTTTTCAACGACGTTCGAATTGAAGAAACTTCGAGCCATAAACATTTAGGTATAACTCTTCAAAACTATTGTACATGGGATATTCATATAAACGATATCGTTAAGAGAGTCGTCCCCATGATAAACTGCTTAAGAAGCCTTAAATATCGACTAACGAGAAATACCCTGAATCGTATGTATAAAATATACGTCGTTTATACTTCCGATCTTTGACTACTGGAGCCATAGTTATGACATTGTACCAAAACTCAAGCAACAATCTTGGAAAACATGCACTTAGACGCGTTACGTGTGATATGTGGAGCTGTTCGCGGCACCAGTCACGATCAAATCTACGCTGAATCATCCTGTTTCTCTCCGCGAAAGAAGAATAGCTAAACTAATCACATTTTTCAAAATGTATCATAACCGATTACCCCACTATCTAAACGAACTCGTCCCTCCCTTCGTCTCTCAAGTCAGTAACTATCCCCACCGTAACGCATCACATTTGCAAACTATTGCCTGCCGTACTGCTCTATATGACAATTCATTTCTACTGGACGCTGCAAGTTTATGGAATGCTTTACCGCAAAATATTAAATCTCTTACAGACATCAATGATTTCAAATCTGCCTTAAGTCCCAGAGCTAAAGACATTCATTTCGATCCAAATATAGGTTCAAGAGTTTGTCAAATCCTCCACAATCGCTTAAGGTTAGGATGTAGCGATCTCAACCCTGAAAGACACAGACATATATCAGAGAGCAGATTGTTTGCGTGGTCACCCTACTGAAGATACATGTCATTTCTTTGTATGTCCCAGATTTGATGCTGTAAGAGTAAATAAATTGTATTATACCAATGGCTTTTCATTAGAAACAATCTTATATGGAACGTCTTCCATGAACCCACAAATTCAATCACGTATCCTAAAATCAGTCCATCTATTTATAATTGAAACTAGGCCCTTTAACTTATACTAAAGTACTGTCGGATATAGAAAAAAGCTATTTTCGCATTTATATCTACAAGTCATGTAGTTAATGTGAAAATGTGAAATATCTGTTAAACGAAGTTTGGCCTAACTACAGTCTCAGTGGTAGGGAGATAGGAAAGGTAGAATAAGAACTTTACTGAGGAGAGATTAGTGCAGAAATGAGCAATGCAGTTTTTTTCTAAAGCGACTTATTTGGAACAAACCATGACTTTATGGAAATTAAATTGCCCATTTTGAAATTAAAATGAGCTTAATTATAAACGTTAGCTGACATAAAAAATAATAACTTTAAGACTGAAACTAATAAGGATGCAGCTACCGTGGAGTCTCACTGTCACTATAAAAAGAAACAGGTAGGAGGGGTCGTCTCAAAAGCAAATCCAGGATGGGTGTCGCAGACGGTGGTGGGTGTCGGGCTAGGGGATGGAGATATCCGCTAAGATGATATATCCTTTAGCGGAATTAAACTGGGGAAGTAAACGGCATGTCATAACAATTTACAAATAATATCAAGTCCTGTCGATCTTAGGGTGGACATGTCACCTATATATTTTTAGACATTTAATACGATGGCTAATTTAAGCATTTCTATGGGTATCACACTTTTACATATCTCAACATAAACTTTATGAAAGAAAGACACGTAAGATGTTAATCAATAGATGAGACATATACAACGCACATGAAAAAGCATAAAATATCTTTGAGATGACCCCTTGTTCCTGTATGCAGCACATGCATTTCATGCCAGGTGAGTCGACGGTCCGTCGTCATACCTGGCTGAGCGACCTAATTGTCATCTATAGTCCGATCTATTGTTTTCAGCAGCCATTCGTATGTTTTCTAAGTTTTGCCCGATTTTACGAGTAAACATGCTTTTCTGGATATCCTATTACGCATCCTATACTGAACGCTCAGTTAGGCCGATGTGGGTTATTTCAATATATGCTATTTGCAGTTGTGTAAATTTTAGGGATACAGAGTAACAGCCTAAAAACAGCGTCAGACCTACGATATGACTATCTGTAATGGCGGGTGCCATCTGTAAAGTCCGTGTCAGACGCCCCCACACTATGCAAAGACGGGCGGAAGCTAGAACCCGTCTCAACTTTGAGCAGACAACCGTTATGTAGTTTTATTTTCACGTAAATGTTTGTGTTTGTTTCTATACTATAAAAAGTAGGGGAACCAGAACGTTTAATTTGGATAGGAAGTATAGGCGTTAAACTTTTCAAAGAGACACGTTATGAACGCACAGCCATTTCTCTTGATCACCACCCCTAAATAACGCATGGAATGCACGTGCACCACGCAGTAGCCCCATACACGTGCATGGGGTGTCTTGATTTTGACGGTTTTCAAGAAGGTCGATTATTCACTATTTCATTATTATCTTGCACAGTATGTTTCTAGCGGTTTTCCTTTCTGGCTCTTTGAAAATGAAAATCGTACACATGCAAATTTCACGTCATACACCAGTCATCTTCCAAGAGAGATTACTGTACAAACACCTATGGTTATAAGGAAGTGCAAGTGGTGATGCACTCTAATATTTTTGTCATAAAATGTTTGATAATGTATGTTTGGGTAACGGCTCCGTCCGTAACGCCCGCTTGAAATGTATTCTATTATGATTATTTCGAGGGGTTACGGTTTAGGGCTGCTTTTTATAAAAACAACCCCATCTATTCTAAAGCATAGAATTATAAAATAACCGGGGCTTACGGGAGGAAATCTTCCTACACTTATGACAAACCCATTTCATGGCTAATGGTATGATCAGACTCACCTGATCTCTGGGAGTTCACATGGTGATACCGAGGCGCTTGTCCATGGAGGTTGATGAGGTCCTCACAACTGCATCCTCACTGGGCGAGCTCCAACATTGTAACGGTGGTGGTTCCGTGTCCAGGGTTCCGTGTCCAGAGCTCGACGGGGTTGGGGCTGTGAGTTCGTTTAGTTACTGTTTACACAAATCTGAAATGATGTATGCATATATACAGCTCAATTATCAAAATACCTATTTCTGTTAAATCTGCAGGCTCATTGCAATAATCAAAATTGGTATTGTATAAATAAATATCAATTGCAGTATTGCCGCTGAACATGAAACAAACTCAAACCAAACGAACGGGCTGAAGTCTTCCCGGATCAGAAATATGCATGGAAATGCTAATTCTAACCAGTAAAGTAAATGTACAATCTGTTTGACTCAAATACAAATATCTGAATTGCAAGTGTAATTATTGACACCAACAACTTCTAAATATTACTCAAAATATACTTTCACCAAATGAATAAATTCAGCTATAACGAATACTGAATTACTTTCAACAATTATAACATATCTTTTGTAGTTTATTCCTTTTATATAAAACCAAGTAACTCACCTGTACATCACCAGCTCCAAATCCTCCTGCCATGACCTTTTAACCACCAGGTTGGGAGAGGGACAGCAAGTTGCATCTCAACTTCAATATCCAGGTTGGGAGAGAAGGACAGCAAGTAAACAGACTTCACACTTTCCTCATGCATCTCACTTCAATATCCAATCAAAATGGTGTACATCTTCAGCCAATGAAAGCCATATATAGCATAGGAACTACTTTTGACCCACGACCCAATGTTGGCTATAAATACATCATGGCCTTGTGTAAAATATATACATTTTCACTAACAAATTGTATTAATGTTTAAGGTGTTATGAATTAATGTTATGTTATCCACTGGCAAAACTGCACGCACCACGATGGCCATTAGAATCACTACACACAACACGTTGATAACCCGCGAAACCCGCAGACACACGCGATTAAAAAATGGCGACCACCCACACAATCCCTAATGGCCGCCATTTTGTTTGTGACGTCATCGATTTCTGATGGTTTGGTCGGAAATTCTTTGAAGACCAGGCACCTGTCCTGCAGTGTCCGTTGCTCTAGCAAATAGGTGATGTCGGGCATGTAGGTGAAACATACAGATGAGTAGGAGTGGTCACTCTTGGTCTTCAACTTCTGAGACGATCTTAGGTCGAATTGATGCGGGTATCTTCGTTTACGTCGTAAATTTGGTTTGGTCTTATAAAGTCGATGTCTCTCCTCATGTTTCCAACACGTTGCACGTGCATTACGTGGAAAACCTTTTCTGCGTTCATTTTTCATGACAAACGTTTACAAACACATTTTTGGGATGCGGTTGCGCGCATTACACAACAATCAGGACATAATTAACGGGATTCAAACATACAAAATTGTCTTACTGGCGATTGCTGTCAAAATATATCGAAATGAACTGCTGAAAGCGCCTGTACCTTTCTTTTCTTAAGAGTTTTTATATATTTATTGAAGATACCGATCCAACTTAACACAAAAACCGATGTTTCCAATTTTGTAACTGTCTCTTTTTGCAAGTAGAAGGTTGTAAAATTTGGTCAAATGTCCCCTACAAAAATTGTTGTCTGAATATAAGCAACCTTGCCCCTTGTGACGCTGAACTCTGCTGTCAAGATGACTTTGGAAACAGCCAGACGAGGAATCAACATTTGCAAGAAACAATCCATAGAGGAGACATGCCAGCTGCACACGAAGAAGAAAAGCAACACAAACCACTAGGGAACGAAACCGCCTCCGTGGTGTAGTGGTTAGAGCGTCCGCCCGGAGAGCGGGTTCGTTCCCCGACCGCGTCATACCAAAAGACGTTAAATTGTGGTACTTGTTGGTCCCTGCCTGACGCTCGGCATTAATGGGTACAACAAGGACTGGTTGGCTCGGAGTCAGTATGATGGTTGTATTCTCTTTACCTGCACTTTAATTGGCTATAAGCGGATTAGGATTAAGTCCAGTACCAAATTTGACCCCACATCATAGTTTTCTGTTGAATCCATGATTTGATCCTTAGCAAAGTGTGAATAGTATATAAATGCACAGTGCACATAAATACGTTTTCCTGGTGTGACATTTAACGCTTATTTTGTGTATTTGCTGATTTAAAATTTCATCATATTTGTCAGATAATTCATTTTCGTATATTTGTATATATGCAATCTTGTGCCAATGTTACATGCAATATTAGTAAAATTAAAAATGTCACCATATGTTCAAATAACTCATATTCGTATATTTGCGGGTGCTATGTGCAATGAAGAAAATGTGATAAACTTTACTGTTTACCAGTAAGTGCTGGCATACTTACATTTCTACTATAGACTATAGCTTTAATCCCCATTGTTGCAATAGGATTAGTACGGTCCAGTAATTTTATTCCCTAAACAATACGTGCAGGCAAAAAGAGAACATCCCGGAAAATGTGTCTGAGTGGGGTATTCATGCTTCTCTGCGGCATGGTATCTCAGTGGGCTAGCACTATAAAACCAGCTAAGTCTGGGCTAGTACAAGCAGCCGCACATACACATACACACGCATGCACGTTGTCATATGAGCGAAATATTCTCAAGCACGACGTTAAACCCAATTTCACCTCACCTCACCTCACCTCACCTCACTAGGGAATGTTCATTCATTTAATGAGAGTCTATATGGGACCCTTTTTTTAATGTATGTTACATAAGTAATGTATGAATACAATGTAGTCACCAGGCTCTGTAGTTCACCTGCAATGAGATATAAGAGTGAGTGAGTATGCATGTTGTTTTTATGGGCTAATTGGAACAGAATTTCAGACATTTCGTGATGAATGTTCGAGAAAAGTTCTTGATGGAGCAATGAAACAGAAAGGGTACGTGAGTGTGTAAGGTTTTACATAGCTGGCGCCATACTACTTACAAGCATGGAACATGGGAACTGGCGATGCGTTTGATTAAGCGATGAATCGCGTTTCCTCCTGCATCGACGGGGTAGGAGACAACGTGTCTATCGAGTGTGAGTTTTTGAGTTTAGCTTTACTGAACACTAGCGCTCAGCAATATTCCAGCTATATGGCGGCGGTCTGTAAATAATCGAGTCTGGCCCAGACAATCAAGTGATCAACATCATGAGCATCGATCTACGCATTTGTGATACGATGACATGTGTCAGTCAAGTCAGCGAGCCCTGACCACCCGATCCGTTAGTCGCCTCTTACGACAAACTTTGGTTACTGAAGATCAATTCTAACCCGGATCTTCACGAAACGCACGTTTTGCGCCGAACTGCGTTCGACAGGTGGACAGAATTGGTGAAGATTGCGTCAAGGTGTGAGGAGAAATGTCCTACACGGGTAGATCAGAGGTAGTGGTGGTTCAAGATAATCTTACAGCAAATCGCTACATCGACCACACCCTGCGACCTAACCTCCTCCCACATTTTAACCACCAGAGGGAGCTGTTTCAACACAACGCCCGACCCCACACATCTCGTGTAACAGGTGCCTATCTCGCCAATGCAAATGTCAATGCTCCTTCTCTGGCTTTCCAAATCGCCTGACCTGAACCCGTTCGAGCATCTTTGGGACGAACTTGATCGACGCGTCCGTAAACCACATCGTAAGAGCGGTGAACGGCAGGAAATATTTCATAGCAGGAAGTGAACGATTAATTACGCGAGAGGAGAGCAGGTTTTATTTTTTAGGTGCGGGAAAATTGTCAATATCTATATTTGTATAGGCCACGCTGTTCCCGAAATTCTTGCTGTAAAAGAGAAGACACATGTGCGTAATTCCACCAAATATATTTCCATTCCGTCATCATACAAGCTCATGAGCCTGTAAAACACTGTCTATCTTCGACTTCGTTTCCGTAAATATGCATAAATATATCAAATTTAAGGTATCATTGTTGTATAAACGAAACACAAAATACACCAACATGTAGAGTAATTATCGAACTATCTTTGTGCCATATTTGAATGCTTAGTTTTGTGCCGTTTTCGAGCTTTCATCCTCGAAAGACCAACACCATCAAACTGTTAGTGAACGATTTAAGAACATCATAGTGAACGATTTCGAACTCTAATTTACACAGTGAAAGCTTTACGGTGGTTATTCAATAAAGTTTCTAGTGACAAACCTGTGCTGTACTGGCCAAAAGTTGCTTATTGACAGAGAAACCATGCATATAGATACATCCGTATTTCAGTCACGTAGAGCTGTATCAACGGATTCTCTCCCTAAACTTCTATATCTGAGTAAAAGTGGCAGTAGCTTGTATTCTTATTGTTTCAACATGGTCATATCACTCGCAAAACATTTGCAGATGGAGACACTACAAGTGCGTGGAATCACCTTGGACGGCTCATTGAACGAGAAACATACTGACCACCCTGTGAACACGTCTACACCTATCAAAAGCAGTGCCGTGAATGTGCGGTTTCATCCATCAATTCATCATCTACACTCTTCAAAAAAAAGAAACGCATAGGTGATTTTGAGAATATTGGACTCACGTAGCTGCGGCAAAAAACAATACAAATGTACTATTTCTTTCCAAAACGTCACCTTTGCATGTGCTTCAGCGCCAATTTTCACTTTTCCCCTTGTTTTAGAAGCGTTTGAAGAAATATTCTCCAAAACGTCACCAAGAAAACATGCACATCAAAATGCAAATGCCAGTAAGCGGAAAAGCATGGGATATCGATCACTATAAAAATACAAAGATTGTGTTTAAATTTGTCATTCGTTTTTGCCTGGAAAAGAGGAAATCATCAAGCAACGAATGAGTGCCGCCAATCGAAACATCGCCATTGGCCGCTTTGAAGATGGGGAGTCGCAGTTTGTAGTTGCCCGACATTTCAATGTTCATCAGAGCACCATATCTCGCCTTTGGGATCGTATCCTGCAGACCAATTCCGCCCAAGAAGCGGCCGTCCAAGAGTTACCACCCAAGCCTAGGACCGCTACATCCCGGTTGCTCACTTGCGTCATCGTCTTGCCACAGCCATGGAGACTGCGCAACGCATCACTGTCAGGAATCGATTGCATGAAGTGGGGATTCGACCAAGAAGGCCAGTTGTCACCAGGACTGCACGGTATATCGCAATACGCCTTTCAAGCGAAACGTATTGCAATGTTGTTGTTTTTGTGATTATCTTTATGGCTTAAATCCATACAGACTTTCATTCACGCTGATGTTTTCCATTGCAATTGATTGACAAAACAGCAAACTTTACATTCAATACATTTTATAAAAAAGAAAACACAATCCCTCAAAATCAAATCTAAATTAGAAATGTCTGTTATCACAACCATTAAGTTTACTTTATGGCTTTATATGTAGAAAATAGACCATGCATGTACAATCGATGTCACTCACTGTCAAACCCCAATACATCGCAATACGTATCGGAATACGGGTACCAGAATCACAACTGCAAACAATTTATTTGACAATACACAGTCCTAGTTTTGAGAGCCTCCCATTGGCGCAATCGCTTGCGGTGATGTCGTAGAGTCCGGAACTGGAACCTTAGAAACTGGAGGTGAGTCTGGTTCAGTGGTGAGGCAAGTCTGGTTCTTCTTCAACGGCGGGATGGAAGACAGCATGTTTACCGTCGGAGAAATTAACGTTTGCCCCTAATTGCATTCTATTTAATGGTGGCTCAAGGGAATGTGACAGTAAATCGGTACACCAACGAAGTCCTTGCACGTCACATACTTCCGATTATGAACCGACAGAGGGAGTTGATCTAGCATGACAACGCTACTTCACATACAGCACGCGTCGCGGTCCGCTACCAAGTCTAACGTCAATGTCTTGCCATGGCCTTCCCAATCACCAGATCTAAAACCCATATAACGCCTATGGGATGAATTCGATCGACGTGTACGACTACGTCAACACACGCCTCAGACACTTCCACAGCTGGCCATCACACTGCAGGAAGAGTGAGGACTTCGTCGACTTATCCAGTCTGTGCCGAGACGGTGCCGAGCAGTAATTGCTGCCAGTGGTGGCCATACAAAGTACTTACTTCAGTAAACAGAAACAATAAAGGCTGCTGTTGTTTTAGCGAACTCTTTACCTATGGACATGTGAATTTTCATCTTTTTACCATTGAAAATACATGAAATAATTGCTCTTAAACTAACACAATAAAAATCTTCTGAAAATGGTTTATGAGTTTCGTTTTTTTAAGAGTGTATCTTTTCTTTTTGGTGGACATGGTGATTCGTCATCCTTTGATACTGAACTGAGTTTTTCTGGTCCTTAGAGACAACAATTTCTTTATCAGTTTCATTTGTCACATATTTGAAATCTTTTTGTACGTATTTGAGGTTACCTGTTATGTCACATAAACGTACATGTATTTTAAAAATAATAATTGTCTTCTCCCTGTAAATGTCATTACAGTGATATATCACCCCACTGAAGTCTTGAAAATGTTAAGAACAGTATAGTAGCAGTGAAATGGTGACATTTCCGTCGTTTAAACATCACATCTGAAGAATAGAATACTTGATAGTTAGTGGTAATGCTGTATTGCAAATTGGATGACGAGTTTAGGTTGGCCGTAAATCGCTCATCAAACAGAAAAAGAAATCGTTCACCATGACCACTTGTCTGGGTTCTTAAATCGTTCACTAACAGTTTGATGGTGAGGATGAAAGCTCGAAAACGGCACAACACTAAGCATTCAAATTTGGCACAAAGATAGTTCGATAATTTACTCTAAATGTTGGTGTATTACGTTTTTCGTTTATACAGCAATGATACCTTAAACTTTGATATATTTGTTTTACAGACTCGTGGGCTTGCATACATGACAGAATGGAAATATATTTGGTGGAATTACGCACGTGTCTTCTATTTGAAAAATAGATATTGACAATTTTCCTACACCTAAAAAATTAATCCTGCTCTCCTCTCGCGTGATAAATCGTTCACTTCCTGCTATGAAATATGTCCTGCCGTTCACCGCTCCTACGGTGTGTAAACGTCACCATCGCCCTCAGACACTTGCTAACGCGTTGCAGAATTCCCGAAGCCAAAAGCCGACGACTTGTGCAATCCTTTCCATGGCGGTCTCCACCAGTGACGGCTGCTAGGGGTGGTGTCACCAGGTACTGACCTGAACTCCCCCTTGTGTCCACACATGTACAGTGAGTGAACTGAATAACGTTCTTCGCGCAACACATCCCCGTTGCCAGTTCACACCCGTGAACACCCGTTGTGATCTCGCGAGAACATCTCCATGGTGACTGTTATCTGCAAACGACGCCATTGTTGTTTAGCATCAGTGTTGCAAAATCCAAGTCTCAGCTATCATTTTGCGGTTTGATTCACACTTGTGACCAACTTTGCACCATGTTCACGAGCGTTGCAAGTGTTTACCACCAAGGTACATTATTTAGGTCTTTTAAGCCCAATTTGGTTTTGGTATTCGGCATAGTATCAATAAGTCTGACCTAGGCCCTAGGCTATTGCGTTCGATCAACAATCCTCACGAGACCCTCAAATGTTGATGCGAATCGTAAATATTACATGTATATAAGGATAATGTGGACTCATTTCCATGAAAAGAACACAGCAGACTGATTTAATAAGTTGAAAATACCTTTTACGGCGGTTGGAAATAATGTCAATTCATATTTCATAATCATAGATCCATTTCACAATCTGTCATCAATTTTGAATACGTTTTACATAGATTTATTCATCATTTCCATCGGCAGCTCGGGAAGAGTTGAGAAAGTCTCAGCGTCCTACCATTGCTGCCTGCCCCTCCGACCATCCTGTCCTCTCTCCAGTAGTAGGTCATCTCGAGTTTTCTTGACCTTTCCCCATGATTAAAACAAACGGTTGTGATGTGGAGTTTTTGTCGCCACTTTAGGTGTAAACCATTTACTAGATTTATACTAATGAATATAAGCAAACATTAAGTCAAGATGACTGACTTGAAGCAATAGACAACTTGGACATATTCTTTTAGGATAAAATCAGACAATGTGTTTGTAATAGGCCAGAAAGAATCACATTATTTAGATATTAACCACTTTCCACACATCTTCTGTCTTCTTATACTGCCTTTCCTTCCTCTCTAAGCTGTCAACTGCTGAAGTTGATTCCCCACCCATCACCCAGACCCCTCTCCCTAACCCTGCCCTTCGGTCACTGTATGGTTCCTCCATGAACTTGGAGCAGGACATCCCAGAGATAGACTTGGGAGATCCCTCAAAACCATGTGCAATACTTTCCTCCGTGAACTTGAGGCAGGACATCCCTGACATAGACTTGGGAAATCCCACATCGCCATTTACAGTACAGCCTGTAAAAACAGAATCCTATGTCCTGATTGATGTGAGCCACCTGGAAGAACCAAGTCAGCCACAGTCATTTGAGACAGCATGCTGCTCCAGTGTATTCAGCTTCATCAAGGGACTGTTCACTCTGTACTAGATGGACATGTGATGTGGCTTGAACAATTTGAACATTTACATAATTGTCAAAATCTAAAGAACATTTTGTGCCCATTTGACCTATCTGAGGCTCGGTTTCTTGAAATATGCAAAATGAAATGATCTTTTGTCAGTAAATATTTCCATGAATCTGATTTTGTAGTCAAGGTTTTGTTATTACATTTATAAACGTTATTGTTTTCTATGGTATATGTGTTTCAGTTGTAATTCTCAAGTTCCTCAGGGCATACAAATGGGATGGGGAAAACAGGTTATACAATTATGAGAATACAGTGTTTTTGTCTTGGTCTGTTAAAATAAGCAAAAGAAAATTGTCAAATACCAGTAAATATTTCCATGAATCTGATTTTTTGTTCAAGGTATTGTTATTATATTCATTAAAGTACCATCTTTTTATGTCTTCTGGTGAGACATGACTTGGGGATTGAACTGCTGACCTTCTACCACTGACGATCTATCCACTAGAACAGGGACGTAGTTCTCAACACAAAGATGCAAAACTACCTTTAAAATAAAAATGACCATTCCAATTCTCTACAGGTTGAACAAAAGCTTGAATTCAGTACCTTACCTTTAGGATATGTACCAAATTCCATCTTATTATAGTAAACACTATAATTCCAGAACATTCCAAACAACCATCCTGAATACAAACCAAATTTGAATTCAATGTATCCAAAGGAATTAAGCAAACCCTAACTTATATCTCCATCATTGGATTACCAGTATTATCATTTCTGGTAGCTAAAGTAACCACTCCATGCACAAAACCATCACTGTTGCCTTGATATAATACATAGGTCACTTCCATCCTCTGCCAAACAGGCCCCTCTGCATCATATTCCCAAGATATCCAAGCAACCTATTTCAAAACTGTGTGATCTGTAAGTAATGTGTGTAAACAGAAGCAATGTCATTGAGTTCATGTTCAGGAACTTGACTTATATGGCCAATATGAGTGTTGGGTGTCACATTCTGGGTGTCAATAAATTTTGGAATCCAGTGATGGGATTCAAACCATGGCCCTTCTGGGGACAGACACCTCACTACAGAGTTAAAGCTACCAAGGTAGGGATGTCACCTGTCAGAAGCCCAGCTGCACAGATAACCTCAAAACAAAAGAATTTTACTGCACATAAGTTTAATGTAAATATCATAGTTATAGATGTTGTCATGTTAAAATCTGGAGAATCTGCCTGGCTCTCTGGTACCTCAATGATGACGTCACATCTGAAAATCACAACACTGAATTGTAATTTGAACTAAGGAGAAATAAAAGTCATCGAGTCTGCTACAATCAACTAATTCCATGGCATGGACTGTGGAACATGGGGGATGGGGGGTTGTTTTGTCAAATCCAGGAATAGGTAATGTACAAGTATCTGTACTTTACTGAGAAAGTATGATGGCAATTAGAGCTCCTGTTACATCTAAATACGACTAAGAGCCCTTTATTTATAGTGCCATCTGCATAATACAAACTGATCTCAAGATCCGGATTTTAGTCTGTTCTCATATTTTAGTCATATTCTGACCAAGAGTGAGTGTGTGAGTTTTACGCCACACTCAGCAATATTCCAGATATATGACGGCGGTCTGTAAATAATCGAGTCTGGGCCAGACATTCAGTGCATCGATCTACGCAATTGGGATATGATGACATGTGTCAACCAAGTCAGCGAGTCGACCACTCAATCCGTTAGTCGCCTCTTAGTAAGCATGGGTTACTGAAGATCAATTCTAACCTGGATCTGCAATGACCAAGAATCCCAACAAAGTATTATAAAACAACCGACGGCCAATGACCAACTTGACTCATGAGAACTGCTGTCCCCCAAATAATCACTTGTTAGCAGACATTATATAGTTCTGGCTCATGGATGGGTACACTGTGTAGATGGGGAAGAACATCTTAAGGGGAAGTTTGAAATTGAATGTCATGTAGACTTTGATTTCCATAACACTGGGGATGAAGGTATTTACAGATGAGCAAGTTTCCTTCCAATCAATACAGATTTTCAAGGTAATTTACATCTCATGTCAATAAATGTCACTCTGAAAACAGCACTGTAAGCAAAATACATGTAATATATACCACAAATATAGGGAGTGAAAGAAATATTCGAAGTGAGTGAGTTAGTTTTCGCAGACTTTTAGTAGAAATATGCTTCACACATTGTACCCATGTGGGGAATGAAACACGGGCCTTTGGCATGAGCAAACACTTTAACCACTAGGCTACCCCACCACTCCTAAATATTTGAAGTGATAAATGTTTAAAAAAAAACAGGTGAAAAGGAGACGTCATCTCAAAATAACTTTGGTGACAAAAGGAGTATTTTTCAAAATTCAGAAATCTACTCCACAGCCAATGCAAATTCATAAGGATACATGTAGTAATGGCAAAGAAATTTGAAAAAAAAAGTATTTCAAAAATGTTACAATTTACAAAAATATGAACTTTCAGCTCACTTGAGATAAATACTTTGGTTCTCTGGACTAGACACTAAAGCTGGTAAACATTTACCTTGTGTACCTTTGTTTTTCTTCTTTTTCCTTTTCCTTGCCTTTGTCTCACCAGTAGTACTATCTTCATCCTCACTCTCATTTTCAGCATCATCCACTTCTTCTTGCCCTTCTTCATCACACTCCTCTTCTTCCTCCTCAACCTCTTTCACTTCATCATCCTTATCCTCTGCTTCTCCATCTTTCTCAGATTGCTTTTCAGCTTCCTCCAGTATTGTCTCTGCTTGTTTTGTAGTTTCAGCTCTGCTATGGCCTTTTAAATCTTCCAGATACTTCAGCAAACGCTCGAAAACTTCATCAGACACCTACAGAATAATTACTCACAATGTCAATCATAAAGAAGGCAATTTATGACTCGGACGCATACAGCTTTTTGTGACTAATGGTATAACATCAAATTTACATTATCTTGTAAACTTTTTAAGGGTTTATCAGCCTTACATGTTTTACTAAAATGATATAAAAACATTCATCTCAACACTCAATATTAAAACATTCCTCTAACATCTGTTAACTATGTTTACAATAATGTCAAATTTCCACCCTCCCTACACTGACATCCTGTTCCTAAATGTTCATACATAAAGTGTTATACCTGAGACTTGGTATTTTTTTGCAAATGTGAGTGAGTTGGCTGTTACGTCCATTTTAGCAATGTTCAACCAATATCAAGATGCGGGACACCAGAAATGGGTTTCACACACAGTACCCATGTGGAGAATCAAACCTTGGTCTGCGGCATGACGAGCAAACACTTTAACCATTGGGCTACGCCACCATCCTTGTTGCATATGTTACACTCTCGTAATGTTTTGACTTTTCCAAAAGAGTCCAAATTAACCTTTATTTCAATAATCTTAAAACACCTATGCAATTTAGCATAATTTGCGTGATAAATACAGACATGATTGGAAACTTTATGTGAGTATGTGATTGAAATTTTCAGTGTCCAAATTATCTTTCAACCACATGCTGTCCAGTATTAACAGGACATGAATACTGCATTCTATTCTCATAATTATTGAAACGAATGGGAAATAGCAACACTGACACAAAAGATTAGTAAGCATGTTTGACAATTAATTCTCCTATTTCATAAGTAAATACCACCTAAAATGTCTCCTCTCTCAGTTATCATACTGAAAAACAATACACAGCTGAATCCTTCATGATCTAACATTAGCACAATCAAATCATTCCAGTTGAGGAACTTGAAGTAAACTATGGTTGATGCGAACTCAAAAGGACAACTAATTTTAATGTGTTATGATAGTAGTTGAATCTATGCATTTTGACTAAAAAATACAACACATGGCCGGGTACAAAATGTAATTTTTAGAGTAAAATTGATATTTTATACTTATCCTGACTCATGCTCTTTTGCTTGTCTTCTTCTTCTTGCGAACATAGTGGAACACTTGTATCTCCTTAATTGAAGCTCCCTTCAATGTAAAATCACTAATTAGTACTCACCAAGAGTTGCCTCCCTTTGCCTCTGCGCGGGAAAAGGTGGCGCCACCCTCTGGCCTCATGCTTCACTCTCTCCTGATTTTGCGAGCCCAACACTTGAATTTACAGGAAATCCAAAGTGTTATGTGGGGAGGATGGGAGGAAGCACCTCATGAGTCAGGATAAGTATAAAATATCAATTTTACTCTAAAAATTACATATTTTTCCTTATCCTGACTCATGCTCTTTTGCTTGTAGAATCCTCTGGAAACGGAGGTGGGAAAGAACAGAATACTTTGGATTTATAAAATTAATTAGTGATTTATATATATATAACTGTAATAACCCCCTAACGGGAACTTCATAATGGCACTGACTTAGGATAATTCCTCTACTATAAACAGTAGTAGATACAATGATAGTCCGAGATCAAGTCCAACAAAAGCCTCTGCAAAGCCTTATTTCCCAAATAAGGCTTTGGTCGGACTCTTAGCTCTTACTACCATTACCCCTACTATTTTGAAAAGTAGTAAAATGTCCCCGGCAGCCACAATTCCCCAAGGGAGAAATAGAAATGTATTGCGCTTCCTCCCAAGGGGAATTGTGTATCACATCACACAAAGTTGTGACGGCGGGATACGAACCCACATGTACAGCTTACAGCCAGACTATACATAATGGGGTCGCACCACTCAACCGACTGAGCTACAGCGGACTTAGCTAAAGTAGGTCGGTTTTCATCTATGTCACGTTGACTGGTGGTAACACTGTGCCGTGCAGTGCGATCAATAATTCTTCTCTTACAAACCCTCTCCTGGCCCATCCACTCAAGTAGTACAAGTTAGGCTCGTCTGATTTCATGTCAACTTTATCTATGTTGTAAGTTTTGATTGACCATATTGGGTCAGTGGCTCGCACTTCGACTATCACCCTCGTGTTCCCCAGGCTGGTATAGATACCTCACTAGGGCCCTATCTGGTATCTGTTTCTCCTTCCCACGCGAATGGAGCAGCCGACTCTGCTGCTATTGATTTTAGTTTGATAGCGCCTGCCGGTTTCTTGCCGGTGAGGCGGGTGACTTCATGGTTGATTGCCGACACCACCTTGGGTAACCTTGTGACCCATTCAGTCGATCGTTTTCGAGGGTGGCTATCTCCTCGCGATACTGATGTCCTAATAAGCCAGCCAAAGTTCTATTGAATCTCTCAACTATGGCTTTGGCTGCGATGGGCTCCAACCGCCACGCCTGACCTTTGTATCGTGTTTGGCTAGCAGTTGTGACACGGCACCCATGAACTCTCGCCCGGGGTCAACTTGCAGCTCTGTTGGCCACGCCAGCGGACTGCGTTTGTATATGCGTTCGAATCCTCTGGCCACCAGGGTAGAATCTTTCGTGGTCAAGGGTTCGGCTTCCTTGTAGCGACTGGCTACATCCACTACGGTTAAGGCATACTTGTACCTCTTGTCGTGGGGTAGGAACACTAGGTCTGCCTGGTGAATGCTATTAGGTATGTTAATTCCAAACTTCCTTCTAGGTATGTAGCGTGGTGGCGACAAATAGATCTGCCACAGGGCTTGTTTTCAAGCCACGCTTTGGCTTCCTCCGGGGTACTTGCGCCATTTAAGCCAGCTTATCTACAGCAGCTAGCTCCTTTCCAGTACCCACGCGGGCTATAGTAAATAGCCTCAAACTTTCTCTGGTTCATTGACATATATATATCTCTGTTCTTGGTTCAATTTTCATGTCTCGTATGCTGCGTGCGTTGTTTATCCCATCAATAGCTATCCAAAGCTTAGTGTCCATAGGCTACAGGGACGCCTTGTTTATAGTCAGTCCAGTATATCTTATGACCATCACTTCTAAGTGTGTTCATTTTATGTCTAAAAGTACGGGTCTTGAACAGGGCTTCCTTTGAATCTGGCGTGTTTGATGTGTTGTTTCACCACGCACTTCTTAACACCCTTAGCTTTCTGGATCTCACCATTGTCGGCCTTCAGTATGGAATACATCTTAGGCCTCAAACCTATGTACTTTCGGCAATGGGCGCCAGCAGCACACACTCGTCCTTCATCTTACCTAAGACCTTTTTATTTACCGTGCTGTGTATGGCATGACCCTTTGGGGTAGTCGCTGGTGTCGCACAAATCGAGGTGTTTTTTCCATGTCATCGTTACCGTCCTCGGTTCGAATCTCCATCAGCAGGAAATCCGTGTCAGTGTACAGCACTTCACACCTGTCGTCGTACTGTTTCCTAAGCTCGTTGTAGTAAAGTCGTTACATCAGGTGTTTGGATAAATCGAGGATGCTCATCCCCGTAAACAGGCCGGTTGAATTTTATGTGGCTTTTCTTCATGTGTAGGGCAACTAAGTCATCGGTGAATATCTTGCTACGGTTGAATGTCGGACTGGCTATCAGTCTCCTTAGCTTGTCTTCCTCATTCGACCGAACCAGCTTCACGGTCACGCAGCGTTTCCTAAGGTTCTCCATAGTCTTACCGAACACTGAGTTGTTCATGAGCTTGTAGAGGTTTTCTCAAAGTCACTGGTGGCAAGCTTTGGGAGGTCTGTGTTCATTCTGATGTAAGGCTCCATCCATGGGCTCTGGTTGAACACGAGCACCCTGTGTATTTTGGTCAGCCTCATACCCAACGACAGGTACAGCTGTAGGTTGCGATAGTGAACGATGTACTTGGTCTTATTCATTAAGTTAGGCACGAAGTTTTTCAACGTCTGCCACCCGCCCACCTAACAAGTTATGTTGGTACTCAGACATCCAGTCTGGGTTAACCCTCATAATGTTCGGGGCTAGGGCTAGCTGTTGCGTGATGTGTAATGCCTTGGGGTATTCCAAGTCAACCTCGAGGATATAACCTTTATTCGAATCTGACGCGATGCTCATAACATCGACCTCGTGTGGCGTCATTCGAATCCCCCTGTGGGTAGATACTGGCTCATAGCCCAACCGTACAGGTTGTTGGCGTCGAGTGTAGAATGTGATTGTTTGGCTTGCTTGGATTGTAGCCCTTCATTATTGATTATTTGCTTTCTCGCGATATCGCTTTTGCCATGGAGATCCCACCTCATAAGCCTTTCTCAATGAATAGGTGCATGTCATAATCTGTAAGCAATTCCAACTTAACTCCAGTCTTTTTAAGCAAGGCATCCCAATGACAGACCTGGGCTGGTGTAATACCATCGCGGGTCGAAGTTTATACTGCTTGAAACATCGTCCGCCTAAACGCGTCTCAAACACGCCGGCTAACAGCAGTACATCTGTCCTCAAGTACAGGTAAATGATAGTCACCAGATTCTCACAACCCAGTTTATTCCATACGTTAATGCGGCGTGAGTAATCGATCTTGGGATATTTCGAGTCTGTCAGATTGCTGTAAAATTCTCTGATGGGGTAGTCTGGTCTCGCGAACTTGACCCAACTATCCATGTACTCATAAGGGTACACACCCTTCCTCATAAGCAGGGTCTAGTCTCCGGCGTCTGTGTATCGATCGGTAATAGGGAAGGTATCATTGGCCTTGACCAGACTGTCAGTGATGACAATAAGAATTGTACTGAATCTATGAACCTAAGGCCGTTTAAGCTGAAGGAGATGTATCTCTCCATGTTGTTGGGGATGCATCGTTATATTACCATCGATTTTCGCGATGGCCTGCATGATCAAATGAGAGTCGTACCCTCTCAAGTTGTGAAAGACAACGGGGATGTTTATTATCTTAGGGTTGATTCTAAGCTTGAGGTTACACGCGCTGTGAGCGGCACCTCTATACTTACCGGTTACATGGCAGTGATCTCTCACCGAATCACCGTTAAGTGGTGAGTCACACACGTGACAGTTAG